CAGTTGTACACTCGTCTAATAGTTCATTATAGATATGTCTATATAAAACATGTACCTGCTATAAGTATTAATAAAAAACTTGGACCAAAGAGGTCACCTTAATACCAAAAAAAAAAAAATTCCCTTTATAAATGCATTTACATTATTACTAACCAATCAAATTTATTATTTTTAGGTTATTATAATAGATTAAACAGTTAAAAACACAAATAGAAAAAATGTAATGAATTATCATTATAGAATTGTTACAGTTACAATTTGATGCTAATTAAGACAGTTTTTGAGAGTTTTACAAGAAAAATTGATATAAGTAAATGATTTAAGAAATATATGAAAAGTTTATTAGTTTGGATTTTTTGTTTTGAAACACAAGTTAAAATTATTAATTTTTTAGAATGGGTCTATCTAAAAGTAAAGTATTTATAAGAAAATTACAAGAAAAAAAGAAGAGAACTTGAATATGACTTTGACACCTTTTTCTCATTAGCATAAGCAGCTTTACCCTTTTTTACTAACACTTTTCCCTTTTTCTACAACCCAACCATCGTTATATTGGCATTTTTCATTGAATTTTTACTCCAATAACAACAACAACACACAACCCAGAAAATGATGACACATTTACACGATCACAAACCCCGTCACACGAGAGTTCAAAAAAATAAGTTTCGGGTCATGATTAAATGGTATTTTTTACATTTGTACATCTTTATCAGATTCTCATATAGTATTATTTAAATTAGGAGTTAACGTTCTTCACTCTGGCAGATTAGTTATGTTCACACCACAACGACAAGATTGATTCATAATTCTCTATATAACAAAGAAACTGGATCGAATACATAACATCTATCTGACCAAATCTATTTGTTGACTAATAAAATTTTTTTTTATTGTGATCATTAAATACATTATTACACGTTCAATAAGATAAAATGTACAGTTTACAGTATATATTAAAATAAACAGTAAAAATCTAAATTTTCTATATAATACAAGGTACGGATTTATAATTAACTTAAATTGTCTATCATAAATTCAACAAAAAAATATAATATTTACACTTTATTATCATTAGCCTTATTGGTTTGTTTTTTCTTCCATAAGACTTCCATATTCCCAATTTTAATCTTATGAACCGGTGTTGGTGGTTTTTGCGGTTGTATAGGAACATTTTCTTGCGGCCTATACCAAGGTTTCATGAATAGATTCGTAAATCGATCAAAGAAAGTCGGTTTTGGAGGAGGTGTTGGTTCAACAGTTGGTCTATCGTTAGGCCAAATATCTGATGTTGTCGGTCTTCTCAACGCTCGATTATAGATATATCGAATTGCATGAATAAAGTCACGATACAAATCAATGGGAATCAATGCATCTTTCATGGATTCTAAAATTAGGGTTGGTTCACGAGAATCCGGACGGTAATCTTTGTAACGAAATGCTCTCATTTGGATTAATGATAGTATAGTGAATTCAATAGATACCATGACTGCTTGTATTCCCGTTGAAATGTTGTGTGCAGTCCTAAAAAAGTTCGTTAATTAATTATAATTATTGCATGAGTATTTGGAAATGATTAATTATAGTTATTGTATGAGTATTTGGGAATGATTAATTATAGTTATTGTATGAGTATTTGGGAATGATTAATTATAGTTATTGTATGAGGATTTGAGAATCATTAATTATAGTTATTGTATGAATATTGGGGTATAATTTATTCTACGTATATCCAGATATTAACAATTAAAAATCGAGATCTTACCAATACTTTGTTTCTCGAATATACCCCAAGAATACGAGAAATCCTAAGGCATGACCTTGATAAGTAACTAAGAAAAGTACCTATAAAGAATACGAGGTTATACAAATCAATATAAAATTAGATAAATGTATTGTTACGAAAATCTTAATTTATCATACCGTATTTACACATATATTTCTCAAAAACCAAGGATAATCATTAGCGAGGATCTCTTGAACAGGCATGAACAACATATTCTAAAAACAAAATATACACATGTTTTAATTTGGTATGATATTATACTTAATAAAAAAATTTTTTTTCTTAAATTACAACATACCATACATATATTTGCGATGAATCCTGAAATTGTTTGCACAGTCATTAAATAAATTTGAGGAAAATATATAGAATACGATTGCTGGCAATAAACTCCTGCGGCTTGTAATATCAACGCAATAAAGGTGGTGGCATATAATATAAATACATATTGTAATATACCAATCCTCAATCGTTTAAGAAGTGTTTTATGCTCGCTCGGATTGAAATATATACAACAAAACGGTACTGGTGATCTAGTAGATTTTATATTGCTTAATTTTTGCATACGAATATCATCATTTTCTCCCAAACATTGAAGAAGAAGATTAAAGAAACTAATTATGGCATAGGCTTGATAAGCGTCTCTGAGAGTATCGATGTATACGGAAGCACGAAAGAAAAAATATGATAACCAATTTAAAATTGTATACATGGGAACAATTAAAAGTAGTCGGACTATGTATCTTTGTTGACTTGGCTGTAAAAAAAAGGTAAATAGTTAGTAAAGTAAAAAAAATCTTAACCAGTAAACATTTACAGATTTATACCTCATAATAATATTTCCAATGCTGTTTTATTAAATATAAAGTAATAATAGAAGCTTGGAGTGTAAAAATCCCACTGGTAAGCCATCCCACAATGTGCAAAGGGACACCATTATTATTCGTAAATTTTAGGTCATCAGGATCAAGGTCCTTAACCATGTTAGGGCAAGTTCTATCCATTAAAATAGTAACCATGACGAAAAGTATCAAAGGTACGCAAAATATTTGACCTTAAACCAAATAATTAATAGTTTGTGTTTTTTTTTTTAATTGTCAAAAGAACTTAGTTCAAGTATCAACATGATATCCTCCTGAAAATTGAAAACTCCGTTCTTTATATATTAAGTGAAATATTTGATTATTTGATATGGGAGAACAATAGTGTAACGTTTCTAAATTGAACATGCGAATGATCTATCAGAATAATGTACGTACGTACATACATGCAAAAATGAAAAATTACTAATAATAGGAACAGAATATAAATGTACAATAATATCGACAAAAGCAAGTTAGCCATGTCGAAACTTTAAAATTTTAATTCTTGAGAATATGTACGTACGTATGTACGGTAAAATTATATACAATATTAATCGATTATGCTATGTTAAAATCGTGAACATTAAAGATTACTTTGAGAATCTTGATGGTAGATATTAGCAGGAGACCTCTCTAATTATAGCCGGATAGAACTGAAGTACCTTTCAACACTCAACAACATGTAACTTGCATTGTTCGCATTAATGGATATATAATAATGGACTTTTCGGATTTCGAGCCATTTATGCATAATGATAAATTAGTTGAATAAATAATGGTCCATATTCAGAAAATTGTTTTCTAAAAATTCGTTCCAATTTTCGAAACGCTACGGTGTAACATCTTTCACATGACTGCAGAATCTGCAGAATTTCTTTGTTGAAAGCTGTTACACGAAAACTGAATTCACGTAAAAGTAACAAAAATCTCTATTTGAGTGCAACAAGTTTTGCTCACGAGACTGAGAACAATACGCACGTTTCCATGGCGATAGGTTATGAATTTGACTTAATGCTAATGATGTTGTTTTACATGTACTGTGAACTTTCAAGGTTTGCAAACAAACGGAACTTTAATACAATACCCAAATATGGTACATAACGAAAACGATGACATACCATTTTGTTGCAAAAATCCGAATATCATATTGATCACATGATCATTTTGTGTAATGATTATATTTTTTAACATTAGCATTTCAATAATCCCATAATTTTGAAAATAATTCTGGATTATATAAATATTAAATCAAATTAAACATTTGAACCTCATCCTCTCAAGCCTTTTGGCTAAGATCAAGTGTAGTATCTGTTCTTTTCAGCTTAATATCTGAAATGATCCACACAGTGGATCTTCGATATTAAACTAATTTTTATCTTCGGGTAGGAAGTCAATGGCTTGCTACACTTCTTACCACGGGTGTCCCTAGTATTGCACTATCTCTAGGTGACGCCCACCTTCCAATTTTAAGCGGGTTGGGGTGTGAGTGTTTTAGAAATTTTAAATAAATAAAAAGTATATTTTAAGTAAACTGGATTTTATTTCCAATTATGACACAATTTAAGCAAAATAAAATGCATCACCTCGGGATATTATTTTAATATCTCTGGTTACTACGTGCCGTATTTCATTGCATAAATCACGCAGAGTCTGTTACATTTCTCCAGAATATTCAATTAGTAAAAAAAAGCAAAAAAATCACATAGGGTCTACTATCATGTTAAAATACTATGATCGAAACATATAACGATAATTTTAAGAAAATCTAATTTAAAAATTTGATTACGTGTAAACAAATCGAGTCAAAAAATAGAATCTTCTTCCCTATGATACTAAAAATAGATTTGTTGATCGTCAGAAATTTTGATCGCGTTTTTTTATAAGATAGTGTTAGTGTTCTTTATTTTAATTATAATCACATGAAGTTACAAAACAATTGTATTCATTATATCAATAATTTTTTTTCGGATATAAATTTAATCAGTATTTTTTTGGGTTAAATTATTTTTTATTAGTATATATTTTTTTATTTACAGGATCGGGATTCATTAGAATGCGAAAGTAACATTAGACATATGTGGGAGAATTTATTAACTTCTTTTCTTTTATTCTGCTTTAAATTATTATTACAGTCGTTAACGGGGATTTTTTCGTAGATCAGGGCTCATTAGACACAAAATTAACAATAGGGGGTTTCAAAGTTAACGTGCAAGAATCCAATTTTGACAGAAATAGATAACGTATTTATTTCATTTTCTGGTAAATTTGAAATGATGATTTTTGCCATTGAAAAGTCTATTTATTTCGTTAAACGGGATATCCAGACATTCCCATTTCATTTCCCAATTTTGAAATACTAATAAAAATTTTCAAACTCATTTAATTTCAAAGTTCGTTACTTATTTGTTATCTTTGAAGCCTCCTAATATTAGACGCTGGAGCTCGTATCTGAGCGGAAAATTAACAATTGGTTCAATGATAAATTCAAGTAACAGTTTCTTTTCTCATTATGTTTTAAACTGGTCTAATAATAAATCTAAGTACCAGTTTTTTTTTCTTACTGCATTTTTAAAAAATTTTTTTCTTACTGCATTTTTAAAATTTTTTTTTTCTTACGCATTCTTAAAAATTTTTTTTTTCTTATCGAAAACTACAATTTTTTTTGTATACAAGATCCCCTGAATAGTGTTGACTGTAGAATTACTGAATTACGGCATTACGGCATTCTACCATATGGTATAATTAATTACGGCATAGAACTTAATTGCCGTAATTATTATATGCCGTAATGCTGCAATGTCGTAATGCCGCAATGCCATATCATAATACTATCGCTATCCTTTACTCTGTTATGTAGGTAAATTTGCATTTTCTCGGCACATTATTAATCTAAGGATACATAGTAGCATAGAAGAGTAAAAGTGGTTGTTCGATAATCTTCGAAAAATGGTATTCTTTTTAGTACACAGCCTCCCCATCCTATTATTTCTTTGCTCATTTATTGGGTCCTTTGAAATCACGATCTACATATTTGTATTGTCGACATAACTGCAGAACGTGTAAGCAATTTTTAGGGATTAAAAACGTTAAGATGATTGGGTGTATGCGTACTGGCAATTCGGCTTATAGAGTAAGAGGGTTACGGTACGATTCCCGAAAACTACTTACCCTAAAGTCTATTTACCCGACATCACATGAGGTAAAAATTTACTAATAAAATATACCTATAGCTAACTAAATGCTAAATTGTCACCCTAGTTGATATCGGGTAAATGGACTGTCGGGTAAGTAGTTTTCGGGGAATTGAGCGACAACCGAGTAATGGATAGTATCAGTATCTTTGATTATAATACCATAATACTGCAATATTATGCTAAATAACTATTATAATTTATAATTGAATAGCCATGTACACAATCATGCTAAACAAGGAATAGATGAATATAAGGCACTAAATGCCAAGAACTTAATCAGTTGATTTTCTTATTATCTGGCATAGTGTTGCTAGGCGAAATCTAGGTGTTTCGGCAAAAAAAAAAATTTTAAATTGGCGAAAGGTGACGAAATTGGCGAAAATAGTAAAATCAGCAAAACTTGAAAAATAATAAAAAAAAGTTGAAGCCCTTTCATGTAATCATCGACTTTTCTATTCCTACTTCAGCTTTACATTGTCATAATAAAATCACGTGTCAGATATCACACATTATTTGTGTATTTTTGTATTTGCAGCAATGATCATATTTTCCACTATATATTAAAGCTGAACAAGTAGGAATAGAAAAGTTGATGGTTACATGAAAGGCTTCAACTTATTTTTACAACCTTTTTTTATTATTGTTATAAGTTTTGCTTTTGCTATTTTCGTTCCTTTCGCCAATTTCGCCACCTTTCGCTATTTCTCCAATTTGATTTTTTTTTGGCGAAAGTCGAAACCAATTCGACCTTTCACCGATGGTGCAACCCTAAAAACTCTAATTAGAATACAAACAAAAGCTATCTTCTAGTTTATTGCTTTGTAAATTTCATTACACGAGTGTCTTCAAGGGAAAACCTGTCATCGGGCTTTTATATTAGTGACTATGTCTGGCATAAAATATAATTTATAATTGAAATCTCGATGACATGTTTTCCCTTGACGGCACTCATATAAGCCACATGCAATATCTTTTTATTCTTTAGCACGTCTCAGCCTTTCCAAAGTCCTAATGGATTTGAGAGTTCTGACTTTCGCCAAAAGTTTCGTTTTTTGCCGGGGTTTACCTTTCGCCGGGAATTTTATTATTTCACCGGGGTTTCACCATTTCGCTAGGGGTTTATTCTTTCGTCAGGTTTAGGTTTCGTCTTTCCGCCACTTGCAAATGGTTTCGCCCAACAACTGTAATCCGGCATGATTTGACAGATATAGCAACAGCACGTGGCCGAAGGCCTCGTGCGTTGCAATCATTGTGTGAAATTCAATGTTCTCATTGTTTCAGAGAACAACTAATCAAATTTTAAGAACATAATTTATTAAACCAAGTTCTCTATCTGAGGGCATTAAATGTATTATATAGATTTAATTTTTCTATATCGAGAACCGTTAAAATTTTTTTAGAACATTAAGGACTTAAAAAATGTTCTCGGTGAGAATATAAAGCCAAAATTGAATTTCACACTGGTTTGCAATGTCCATGATCTGTATATCGTGACAGATAATTACCAATATGTTATCTTTTGTTAAATCTTTAAATCAGATTTTGATATTATTTGAACACTTTTTGTGTTCATTTTTTTAACACCAATTTCTTTAAATTCATGACCATCATAATTATTTCATCATTACTCATGATGGAAATATAACATAATATTCTTTACTGTTACCAATTTAATAATGAATATTTCTTGAACCATCAGGTTTAGCATGCAAATTTGCATGTTAAAATTTTTGAACAAAAATTTAACTAAAAAAATTTTAATAAAATTTTGAAATACTGTAATTTTTTGTTAAATAAAAAGATTTCTAATATATTTTATTATTTTATTATTTTTTCAATTTTATAAATTATTAAAAATGTATTTTGCATATTTTTATTTTTTCAACTATATATTTACTAGCAAGTTTATTTGTTTTTGTCTTATAGTAGTAGTTTCTTGTTAAGCAGTTGCAGATAATATTCTAAGTAAAAACATATCTTCTTAATTATTATTTAAATCTTGAAAATTTTTGATAATTTAAAATACATGCTTATAAAAAAATAAATTTTAAAGACATTTGTTTTTATACAAATTTTTTTATTAAGCTTTTTTATCTTCTTTTTTTCTAATTTTTTTTTTTTTGGTTTTTTGAATTGAATCTTTATTCTCATTTTCAATATTTTCAATATTATTTTTATAATAAATTTGTTTAAACTTATTTATCTGTTTATTATTTAAAATAAAATTACTTAAATCAAATTTATCTAATAACATAAGTTCATTTAGTTCTTATTGATTATAAAAATATTGAACAATAGGATTATAAAGTATTATTATTTCAATATTAGATTGGTAAGCTATTTGAAATTATTCTATTTGTTGATATAATGATAATAATTCTAAATGAGTATTGTTAAAAATACTATAAATAAAATAGAAGCTAAATCCATGATTATAATTAAAAAAATTATTTAAAAAATTATTTACATTAATTTATCTATATAAATATTTAACCAAACTATTACTAATTTATATAATCTAGTTGTCGCCGGTGGTGACAGTAACCGGAAGCAACAGTCACCGGATTGCAATTGACCAACCAGATCGTGCAATGGAATCTGAACACATGTTAAAGTTAACTAACTATTGTTAGGCTCAGGGTTGGAGTTAGGTTAGGGTTAGTTAGTACTTATCTTATAGTAAAATTTCGCAAAGGACTTTGTTAATTAAAATACAAAAATGGTTTCATAGATGAAATGTTGAGTTATCATGAATATTTGAAAAATTACAATGTTTTCTTTGTTTTCAGGTTATATCTGATCCCGTGATGTGATTGGCGAAGTGCAATCGGTGACTGTCATCCCCAGTGACAAATAGATTCGTCCTTATTTATAAACCGATTTTTTATAACTAGATGATGTTCAAGTCTGCACTATAATATTATTACAGTATAAATAAATATTATAGGTTATAGATGATTACTACAGCATATTAAAAATGGATTTGGTTATGACAAAGTTTTACATATTGGATTTTTTTTTAAAAAAACAAAATATATGAAAAAAGCTTACAATCAAACTATGATTTTTATTTACTATTATATTCAAATTATTTTATTCATATTGATTTAGTTTGTAAATATCAAGAGCATTTATAAATAAATAGAAAATCATAAAACATTAGTTTTTTTAATATATTGAGCTTAATGGTAGCATTGCATAAATTAGCTTAAAAAATAAATAAAGATATTATATTATACTAGGTAACTTTAGTAACATAGGTGTTAATAATAATTTTTCTAATAAGGTTTAATATAATAATAAAAAATCTTTATACTGTATATTAATAAATTAATTTAGTTTATGATATAAATATTTTAAATAGATAAAATTAAAATAAACATAATAAAGCAAAAATTAGGAACATAATTTTTTATTTACTTATATACGTATCTGTAAATATAGAAAAAAGAGAATTAAATCTTAAATCTAAGAAAACATCCCAAAGATTAAGATATGAATTAATGATAATAGATCGTTAATTGGTTGAAGTTTGGACATGAATAAGACATGAATAAGACATGAACAAGACATGAACACATGTTTTGGTTTCGAACTTGGATTGGAATCTTGATAAACATCGACCAAAACCAAATTGGGTACTGTCTCATTCAGGTTTGGGTAACATTAGTTAAATTAAGTTATATAAAAAAGACATCAAGATTATAAATAGAACTAGGTTTCGAACTTTAAGACCTAATTAGGCTGTTAAAAAAACATCCTTAAAATTTTAAATTAAACGCTTAGAAAAGAAAACAAATATTACATTCCGCAATGGCTCCCATAAAAAGAAGAAAAAAGTATGTTATTACATTTGCAGTTTTAACGATAAATTTTGTTTTTAACTGCACAATATAGTCTTATATGAAGTTTCTTCCATAAATATAATATCACGTTCTTAAATTATTTAATCGATCATATGGTTTTAACAGTATATAATTTTCATGATTTGGTATTAATATACATTATATATACACTTTTTTTTTTTTTTTAGATTTTATAGAAAAGTACCATTGAGAAAGCTTGCAAGATTTTATAGGAATAACGAATCACTTTCAATTTTAAATAAATTATTAGAACTCAATTCAGATAATTTCTCAGCGTTAAATAAACGTAGGTTTTTATATTATAAGATGGGAAGATATGAAAAATCTCTTGCAGACTTAAACAAATTATTAGAAATCAGGCCAAATAACGTTACAATATTAAATGATAGAGGTACAGTATATCAAGATATGGGTAGATATGAAGAGTCTCTCACGGATTTCAATAAGTTGTTAGAAATTGAACCAAATAATCTTACAGCATTGAATAATCGTGGATTAAGTTATCAATCTATGGGAAGATATAATGAATCACTTGACGATTTTAATAAAATATTAAAAACAATGCCAAATGCTAGAATATTGTATAACCGTGGATTAACATATCATTATATGGGTAAATTTAATGAATCTCTCGTTGATTTAAATGAATCATTAAAATTATGTCCAGATAATGCTTCAGCATTAAATCATCGCGGTATAACTTATCAAGACGTGGGTAATTATGAAGCTTCTCTTGCAGATTTTAATAAATCATTAAAAATTAGGCCAGATAATACTACAGTTTTAAATAATCTTGGAGTAACTTATCGATTAATGGGTCAATATAAAAAATCGCTTACAATTTTAAATAAGTCATTAGAAATCGACCCAAATAATGCTGATATATTATGTAATCGTGGATTAACTTATCGTTACTTGGATAGATTTGAAGAATCACTTGTAGATTTAAATAGTTCATTAGAATTAGATCCAAATAATATTGGTGCATTAAATATTCGTGGAGAAGTATATCGGTTAATGGGTAGATATGAAGAATCTCTCACTGATTTACATAAGGTATTAGAAATAACACCGGATGACGCTAAAATATTAGGTAATCGTGGACTCACTTATCAAGAAATGGGTAGATATGAAGAATCTCTTGCTGATTTAAATAAGTCATTAGACATTGATCCAAATAATGCTGTAACCTTGGAAAAACGTGGATCAATTTATTGCTATATGGGCCGATATAAAGAATCGCTTGCTGATTTAAATAAGTCATTAGAGATTAAGCCAAATGATCCTATAACATTGGCAAGCCGTGGATTAACCTATCAAATGATGTTCAAATATGAAGAATCACTTGTAGACTTAAATAAATCATTAGAAATTAGTCCAAATAATAAAGATGCTTTATATTATCGTGGAATAGTATATAGAGATATGGATAGATGTGATGAATCACTTGAAGATATAAATAATTTGTTAAAAATTGATCCAAATGATGTTTGTGCACTGAACAGTCGCATACAAACATATCAAGATATGGATAGATTTGATGAAGCTCTTATCGAATCAAGTAAAATATTAAACATAGAGCCAAACAATACTGCTGCATTGAACAATCGTGCCTTCACTTATACATGTATGGAAAAGGATGAAGATTCAATTGAAGATTTGAATAAATCATTAAAACTCGAATTAAATAACCCAGATATACTGGATAATTATGAAGCAACGTCATCGAGATTTGGAACCTGTGCAAATTGTAAGCAATACAATACTGGGATTTATTTCTGTCATTCATGTGATCCTCAAATAAGCAAAATTAATTGGACTAGCGGAAATAATGAGATAGACAATTTTATTAAAAATGTTCAAATGAGTTCAAAATATTATGACAAAGTAATTGAGTGGATACCTTTTAACGGATTAAATAATATTAAAAAAATTGGCGCAGGAGGTTTTGGTACCGTTTATTCTGCAACTTGGATTGAGGGAAAACGGAATTATGAGTTTGAGGGAGAAGGACCGTTGGATGGAAATTTAGTACCTTCACGTGAAGAATTTTCCAAGGTTGCTCTTAAAAGTTTGAATGGAACTCAAAATAATTCTTTAGAGTTTTTAACTGAGGTAAGAATTAAAAACTAATTTTCTGGGTTAATTTTTTTCAAAGAGCCTTAATTGAATAAACGATAATTCGTATTACCGTATAAGCACGAAATAACGCGCAGGGGTGAAATTTCGACATTTGGCCTAAATTAAACCTAATTCGGGCCATTATTCAAAATAATGCCCCTGCGCGTTATTTCACGCTTATACGACAACACATATGAAATATCAAAATCAGTATTCCTGACTAAGTAGTCAATTTTTTATTAAGTTAATGTCCTGTGAGCTTCTAATGAAAGTTGCAGAACTAGTTTTTGTGATTTTAATGTTAGTAAGATCGGTAAAATTAGTTAAATATATAAAAAGTTATAAGCAATTTAAGATTAAAAGTTTTTATAATACTATAGGAATCACAATTCCATATTAATATTTTTTTACTATGTTTTATTATAAAAATTCACCCAGTGTTAAGTTCTCATTTACTCGCGAATCATCAATTAATAAAAGTTTTTTTTTTTTATATAATAGTTTAAAGCACATTATGAATGCCAGTTTAATAGATATAGTGCATATAAATATGGTATCGAGACTTATGGAATAACCTATAATCCAGATAAAAATGAATATATGATGGTTTTTGAATATGCAGATAAAGGTGATCTTCGACACTATCTATCAACAAATTTTACAACTCTCTTATGGAAACAAAAATTAAAGATCCTTTACTCAATATCTGAGAATTTAAATTATATTCATAAAAATTATGTTCATCAAGATTTACACAGTGGCAATATACTTATGTTTAGTGTCGTGGATCATAAAGATTCTATAGTCAACTTTATTGACCTAGGAAATAAAATTGAAATAATTTCTCAGGACATTGGATGTAAATCAAATGTAGAACCCAAAATTTCAGATTTAGGTTTATCTAGAAAAATTAATGTTCAATCAAGTGAAATTAAAGGAATATATGGCATAGCACCTTACATAGCACCTGAAGTATTATTGGGCAAACAGCATACAAAAGAATCAGATATTTATAGTTTAGGTGTAATCATGTCAGAAATAACAACCGGAAAACCACCTTTTAATAATATGTCGCATAAAGCTATTCTTGTTGAAATTCTTAAAGGATTACAACCAGAATTCGCCTCAGGAACACCTGAATGCTATATACAACTTGCAAACCAATGTCTGAATAGTGATCCATCAAAACGACCAACAGCGAAGACAATTTATGAAAAGTTTCGAGAATGGAAAATAATTGTTGACAAACAAATTGAAGAATTAAATAGTAATGAGCTAGAAATAAAAAATGGATTTTTAAAGGCCGATGAATTTATTCCTATATTATCAACAAAATTTCAACAGCACCCAGATGCCATATATATTTCCCAATTTATTGACACCTCTAAGATTCTAGAGGTAAATGAGCAAAATTTATTAATTTGTTAATATATTATATATTTATTTATGTTTTTTGTTTTTTTGCGTTTTAATAGGTTTTAAACGAATAATTAGCATATTTGTAAGAAATAATTATTTTGTGTCGTTAAATTTACTGTTTTTTTTAATACGCGATTTGCAAAATAGTATTTGTATTTAACAAGATCGTTTGCCTATGCGCTGGTCATAATTATCAAATCGTTTATTCTGTTTTTTTAAATTACTGTGATCAGTAAATTTCATGCCACGAAAATCTGGGAACTGGAATACGAGCCTGGAATTGGATATGTAATAGTTAAGGTTCAAGAGCATCGTAAACAAGATCCGGGTCCGTTTCATTTTACCAATTTTAAACCCTATTAACAGAACCACGGGTCTCTTGTATGGGTATAGATCTGATAATTGTAATAGCTAAATTAATTATTATTATTATTTATTCCTATTTGTATACCCGGGTCTTTTACATTTTACCAAATTTTATCTCATGTTATAGACCCGGGTAGGGTCCGATATTTGGGAGGATCTATTAAGATAATTATAATAAATATAAAAACATGACGATAAATATGAATTTATACGTACATTACAATAACGGGTTTTGAACTAACATATTCAGGAAAGTATAGTTAATAGTCATTTATTCACCGGTTCTTATTTATACTTCTATACTATGTTTTCTCGCTTCTTTCAAATTCGGGCACGAACCTAGTATACCACTAAAAAAAAAAGTTACGAAACTGGGTTTAAATTTAAAAATGCATCTTAACGTATTATTGACAATACAATATTGGTGAAACACCCAAGTATTACAAAAGTTAAGAAATCTGAAAATTTTTGGTCGCTTGATAAGTTACCTAGATGATGTATGTACATATTATCGAAGTTGGTATTTTTGTACTCTATTTCTGTATTTAGAATCTTGCCATTGCTTTAATGTTCTATTGGGTATTTTTAAGATTAACTGTTATTAATTTTTATAATACTTATATATATATATTTAACATTTTAACATAATAGTCGTTATTCTAAGTAATTTTCAATTATCAAATATACACTATATACATTTTTTATATATAAGCAAAATACTTCATTGCACCATTTATCAACCCGAAATATTACGTACCTTTTTTTTTACAAGCACAAATAATGTGATAGTGACAAAATAATTGTAGAATAGTCAATACGGTTATTAAATAGTGCATATTTACAAATACAAGTGACTCTTGATAAAAGAAACTTTTGATATAAGATTTTGTAAATCCTAATTGAGAATTTATGATAAAAAAACCTTTGATATAAAAAAATCTTAATATAAAATTTTGATCAGACCAGGAAACTTTCTTATATTAAGAGTTACTTGTATTAACGATTTAATCGAAAGAGTTGATATTAATAAGCATAATAGCTTCCGATGTGTTTTTAATTAGTATGTATATGTCGCATCTGAAGTAGCGATTTATCTAAAGTAGCCACTTTATATATCTAAAGTAGCGCCTGACTAAAATTAAAATCTAATGCATGCATGAAGATCTAATTTCAGGGGCTTAATTTTAGCCGGGCGCTACTTCAAATAAGTCGCTACTTCAGATGCGACATATATATAACTAAATTAACCAAAATTGATACTATTTGCTGAAGCGAAGGAATTATAGACATCTAATTTTTAATATAGAGAAAATTTAAACTCAGTTTCGTACTTTTTTTAACGACCCAGCATGACCACCAAGATCAGTTACGTAATCTGTATTTAAAATTTCGATTACCGATTTTAATATCAAATGCAAAATGA